GCTGAGCGCCCCACACAAGGGCCACCCTCTAATCTTCAATGCCATGGCACTGTATAGGAACACGCGCGCTCGACTAGTCGTTGACCTCAAGTCTATTCAAGAGGCTCTACGTTATCACGACTCGTACGAAGTCGCTGCTGCCATGACCAATGCCCGTGACAAGGTCCAACGCTCACCAGAGATGATCAAAGTCATCCAGGAGTGCTTTGACTGCATCGAAGTCGCTGCCGTGCAAGGAATCCGCTGGGTTGCACGTACTTCAGCCACCAACTGGAGCATCGAGCATCCTCTTACTGGCATGGACCTGATGGTAATTTTGACCTTGTGGCTCTACCGTTTGGAACACGACGAGGAACCAGCCACCGAAGAAGAGCTAGCTATGTACAACAAGCTACGCAACTTGTTCGATGATGATTCAGTCGATGTCTATGGAGCCAAACTAAGCTCTACTGTCGCTCGACTTTGGGGCAGTATGATTGACGAAGTTGTTGTCTGGGGGTATGCTGATCTCTCCATTACTCTGCGAAACTTGTCACTAACTCTGCATAGCATTACTAAGCTCATGGGCGAAGCCTTCAAGCTCCACTCACAAGCCCTTGTCGGCTACGAGGACGCCATGTCTTCTCGCTCTGGATCCGCTACACCGTCCATGGCGGCTGGCGGTGTTCAGGTCCTCGAGATGCAGATGGCCTACTAGGGTCATGCGATCGACCTCTAGCACTCTACTCACGATCTGTTTTTGATTTTTTTGTCCATTTCTCTGTTTATCTGTCATTGGGATTCTTCTTTTTGTCTTGCTACAGTCACCTCCTTGCATCTGGGAGCATGTCATGGAGTTTGGGCGTGTTGAGCATTAGTACTCTATTTCTTATCTCTTTTCACTTTCTCAAGATTGGGGTAATACGGCGCACAGGGGCAGTCGTCCAGATTGCTACACACTTGAGCATGCGCTCTACTTGTTTGGCGTCCTTTTAATATCTTTCCCTCGCTCATACCCATCGGCATTTCTGGACTAATGGAGGCTGGCCCCAGGCGCGTTCATCGCTCTGCTTCGGTCTTGCTGCCTGTATTGCCTCTGCTGAATTTCTGCTAATACTGTTTGTTTGCTGTCATTCTATTTTTTGCAGTCTTTTCTATTCGTCATGGAGCTTTTGGGGTTCGATGTGCATATACCATAGTATTTCATGAAGCGCCTTTACGTGGCGGCGGAAGGCAGGATGGAAGTAGTAGATTGACCATGCCGAAGTGTGGGTAGATTATGATTTCAAATATTATCGTATGAACACATTTTCGCATGAGCATGTTGGGGTTAAATACAAGCAGTCCGTGAAGCCCATTAGATCTCAGTGTTGCCGACCACAATCCGGCGTTGAGTGAAGCCGCTAATCGATAATGGCTACCCACGGACCACCATGCATAACTAGCGCGAAGAGCTCCAATTGAACTTTTCCAAAAATTTCGAGGCCCAGCTACACCAGCCCGTCTGCTTGCAGTTCCACGCATTGTCCGCCATATTCATATAACCCTCTACCTTGGCGTTCTAGCCCTCAAAACACAGTCGCATACAGTCATAATGTCGAAAGATATCGAAGAGAAGAAGCTCAAGAAGGAGAAGAAGGACAAGAAGGAAAAGCGCGCCGAGAAGGATGGCGTAACCAAGAGCAAGAAGGACAAGAAGGAGAAGAAGATCAAGGGTGATGTCGAGATGACCGACGCGCTAGAGGCCGAACTCGAGAAGGAACCTGAGGTCTCCATGGTCAATGTCGTAGACGGCGCATCCGGCGACGACGAGCCTCGCGGCGCCCTTGTTCCCTTTGCATTCCCGCTAGCCGACAACGACAAGGAAGTCAAGAAGATTCTCAAGACCGTCAAAAAGTGTACGTCCCATCCCAAAACCCACTCACGCAATACAACATTTCAACTAACCTTCAACAGCCGCCAAGTCCAAGACCCTCCGCCGTGGTGTCAAAGAAGTCGTCAAGGCACTGCGCAAATCCGCCGCCGCAGGCGCTGCTTCTACCCTCAGCGACCCCAGCGCCATTGTCGTCATTGCTGCCGACATCTCGCCCATGGACGTCATTGCGCACATCCCTGTCCTCTGCGAAGACCACAACGTGCCCTACATCTACATCAAGAGCCGCGCGCAACTCGGCGAGGCTAGCGCTACAAAGCGACCTACTAGCGTCGTCATGATTAGCAAGGACAAGCTTGGCAAGAAGGCGGGAGAGGGCGACGACGAGTTTGCTGAGGCGTATGCTGAGCTTGTTAAGGTTGTGGCTAAGGCTAGTAAGACTGTGAGGAAGTAGAGGTATGTTGGTGGGGTATTGTGTAAGAGGCTAGGAGAAGAAGTGTCCTTTTTTTGGCGATTCATGAATGTCTCGAATATTTTCGAATGTCACACTGTGTTGAACAACCCAAAAAAAGAAGAAAACTCGGAGGGGAACATGGACGAGGAGTCTGGCGTTTTTTTCTTTTTCCTCGCGTTTTCCTCGACGCGGAAACTTGGGGGTTTACCTTATAGCTAAGTTACTGTTATACTGATTTGGCATGTCAAATTGGTATATTCAGATGCTTTTTTGACTTGCAAAAGGAAGGAACAGAGGTAGTTTTCTTCGTTTTCAATACATCTAAATACCATTAAAAATTCTTCTCTTAATCTCTCTCTCTCTCTCTCTCTCTAGTACCGATACGTACTAATGCTTTGCATTGTCTCCTCGATTGCGTAATCTAGTGCGTTTTAGAACTGTGCTTTTGTTTTTCACGGCCACGTGTTTCGAGGGCTATGGCACAACTTTGTTCAAGCTGGGTTTGAGTGTGGCAGATACATCAGTGAGTATGTGTATGTAATCTAAATCGTGGTATTTTTTTCAATTGTCTTTTCTGAGCCGCTGGTGCTAGCATGTTCATTTCTGTTTTTTTTGTGGTAGGTTGACGTTGTGTTTCGTGATGTGTAGTTGGATATGGCGGCTTAAAAGGTGGTAGTTGCAATTATGTATATTGTGTGTGCTTTTCTTGGTACGTGTTATCTATGCTTTTTTTTTTGCATGTGTGATGTGTATTGAGATTGCTAGAGGATATCCTGGGTAGGAGCCTTGTTGGTGTAGTGGTGGGTGAGTGGTGGGTGAGTGGAGCGAGGATTCATGGCTGCATTCTGTTAAATGCAAGTTGCCACGTTAAGGAAATGCGTCAGATCGCGTACTGGATGGAGTGTTGTAGTGGATAGTGGAATTTTCGTCGTCTTTGCACTTTCTTAAAGAGGTACTCAAGCAAGTGAGGGTTGTCGTGTGTTTGGCCAAGAGGGGCGTATATGTTCGTTTTTGTCTCTAGCACTCCCTACACTTTCTTAGCAGACGCTCCCTTGACTTCATCGGTACTCGCTCTTGTTTTGAATTTATATTTTGCCTGTGTTCTCAGGTGTTTTGCGTTCGCGTGGGACAACCCTTATGGTTTTGTTCTTGTTGTAAGATTATATTTCAGACCTCGAGCTGACATTACAAGCTCCAGACCAAATCACAAACTAGTAGTACACGTCGTACAACCCAATAACTTCAAAATATAGCAAGAGGGGATTAATAGTGAATTCAGCACTGGAGAAGATATAAGAACCATCTTAATCTCATCATACGTACTATAAAAAATCCGGCCGACTGAAATTTGAGAAGTAACCGATCTTGGGTAATGAGTGACCACTTTTTACTTCTCATAAGGTCACCACAAAGATTTCAACATAAAAGCACCGACAGCCTCACAACACTAGATTTGTTTATTCGCTCTGCCCTAGTTCACCAACGCCCTGGGACTGGTTAGAAGACACGATTCACCTGACCAACACATCTCTCTCCACAAATTATTCTATAGGTCGACAGAAAATCTACAAAGAATATGACTACCCATCCGTGCTGAATTGGGCTTGTGTCCAGAGCCATGAAGTTTTGGTGATACAATTCGCTCCGTAACACGGTCTACAGCGTTAAATCTCGACCGGAACGACCGGGTATCACGAATGTGCAGTAAATATTGGATATATAGCCTATATCTGCCCTACAAGACAACCATTAGCTTTGTTGGTACGTGTGCCATTTTGGTCCTTCGGTAGAGTAGACCGCATGGATCCCGTGGAATTAAGAGGCCGTCTAGATCCGTCCATCAAATTTTGGACTTACGAACATTGGTTATCTTTTGTTCGTCTGACATTAGATACTTTGCGGCACTTCATTTTGTCGCAGTGGGAATAAGGTTCAAAGAGATAGGATGATGATGAAAGATGAGCACTCTTATGTCATTTTGCATTAGGCTTGTCATATTCACCCGAGCTCTTTGATTGATTGGCTCACATCCCACTAACTGTCCCTTGTATAACTCTGATACTTTACTATAAATGCTTGATTTCTTCATGCTAAACTCACGCGTACTATGTCACATTTCGAAACTTCAAGCCATTCTCTACTCTCTACATTTCAACGCTATCCACCTGTTGTTACTTTTGAAGCTTCACTATTCGCAATTTACTCCCGACATCCATTTCCTTCACCTCGACCTGCTTGTGAAGCTCGGACTGTTGTTCCCAGCATTCATAAATGCAGCACTGATAACTTGTCAAGATAGTGCTGTCTGTTTTGTGGGGTCTACTGCGTCGTGCTCATGCTATTATCAAAACACACTCCATGGTGGAAATTGCGATGGCACTGGTGTAAGTCCTGATGGTGTATCGGATGAGGAACCTTAGCTGATGTGATTTGAATTCTAGCTGTGTGCATTTAACCCGGCCTAAACATGATGAAGGCGATTATATCCTATCAAAATTGATTATTAACAGTAATCTGATGTGGATATTACTTGAATTGATGGTGTCGGTTGGCGTGTAGCGTATCAGATCGTTCTTCTCAGAAAACAATGGCAGACCACACCCCAACCTACCAAAATCGGGTATCAAATACAAAAGACTCTGCAAATCAGAGTAGATATTCGAACGATGATATGGTTATAAACTCTGCTCAACTACTCAAGCGAAAGCCGTATATTTCCTTACTTTTTTGTTACCTCCTATACTGTTATATCATGAAACCGACTCTCCAGATGCATCAACCGTGCAGTCTCCCACGCCGCCAAATCCATCGGTCCCACCTCCCACCTCATCCCTCTCCACCCTTCAAACACACTCTTTGCCGCCTCCTCGTTACCCTCGGATTCAAAAACTTGCACAATCCTCTCCGCGCCACGAACCGCCGTCTTAGCCATCTCGTCATCTCCACGCTCAACCTCACGACTAATAGCTGCAACAACCCTCCTTACCGTCTCACCAACCCACCATCCCTGCGGCACCAAATCCGCAAGCGCAAACCACCACGCTATAAGCACTAGAGCGCGGGGTTCGCGTTGCCGCACGAGATGAAGGAAGTCTGGCGTGAGGAAGGATGGAAAGACGGATATGCGAATGCTGAAGTCTTCGGTGAGATGATAGTAATACAGCGAGAGAAAAATTGGAGATAGAGCTTGGAATGCCGACAGAAGCGTAGCGACATGTGACCCAGACTCATTTTGTAAAGACATGGTGCTTTCAAAGAGTGATGTGAGAAGGGGTGGCAGGAAGAGACCATTCTGATCCGCAAGGTGAGAGGATGTATATGTTGATGGTGGATTAGGAGTCATGGGTGTGGCGCCCAAGGGATCAGTGGGTACATGAGTAACTGGGTTAATGATAGGTGGTGGAGGCAGTATACGTGACTCTCTTCGCACCAGTGGATACACAGATAACTTCTCTATACCATGGTCCCAGCGGAGAGAGGCTAGAACGCGCAGGCCCTCACTGAGTTTCAGTAGCGAGAATATCCAGTCCAGGTACTCGTCGTCTGTGTAAGAGGCCAATGGCAGGACTAGGGAAAGCAAAAATGTTCCTGTTGCGAGCACGGCTTCGTAGTTCTCCGGAGTGATGCGTTGGAGTGCGGTTTTGTAGGACTCGAAGGTTTTTTGTCTGTACACTAGGGCTTGCTTCTCTACTTGTTTACTTGGAGTTTGGATATTGCTCTGTGTGGCTGCAATACTCAGCAGCGAGTAGAGTAGGAAGGTATGCGAGATACCCATTTTTGGAACAACATCTTTGTGTAGGCTCTTGACTACCGGGTCATCCCACATTACGAAGCGTTGCCAGACGTAGGTTTCATAGTATTGCATTAGGTAGTGGTCGAGTGAGGTAAAGATACCTATCGATGTATTTGATGGAGGAATGAGGGATTGAGAGGAAGAGATACAGAAATCAACCTCGTTACTCGGAGGTTGTGGTGAAGCCTCGTGACTGGATAAAGACTCCGGTGTTTTCGATGAAGATTTATGAACATATTCGCAATCAAACTTTCTCTGGTTGCAGTAACGACATTTTGGCCGCGCCTCATCGCACTAAATCGGGTTATTCGCAATCTTCAACGAGAACCGTTGATCGAACCTTGACTTTCTTCCTTTTACACGTTAAGCATCCGCCTCTCGACTTGGAGTGTGGCTGTTTGCTCACAAAGCCGGAGCTTCGACGCACCATTGGATTTACGTTAGTATTGCTTGGTAGAGTTAATGTTTCTGTAGGAGGCTGGTTGGAGCCATGTGATGTGTAAGGCGCCCAGCCGCTATGATCTATCCTTGTAGTCATCTACGTCATCTAAAATGTGAGATTGGGTATGATTAGGGCACTTTCTACAGAGCAAAACCAATGTGATGATTGGTGGCTGAAATTTAATTCCATTTGAGAGATGACGGTTTCCATTTTGAATTCGACTTTTTTCGCGTGCAGCCGTATTCGATCTATAAATAAATAGAAGCAAAATACTAGCAATAATACGGCTAGAAACAACCAAAGCGCGAAAAAGAGCCCGTGTTTACTTTACCTCCCTAGCCTCGCAATCAATCTGAACTTGCACCTTCCCAGCACCATCCTGTGCAACATGTCGTGGAGGCTCAAACACTAGCAATAACACAAGTACCAGAAACATCAGTGCCGCATCAAAACAATACAGCGTCCACTCATGCGCAATGAGATATGCCGCATTCCCCATCGAATACTCGACCAACCTGAACACACAGCGCAAGAGAATGAGAGCACTGACACTGTAAAGAATATACAGCATCCTCTCCCATGGCGTATCTGTCACAGGTCCAGAAGCCATAGCAACACGCCTCCTCATCCGCAGGTGAAAATCCCCCGCTGCAATGAGAAAAACCACAAACGTAGCAACCTGCAAAGCAAGCCCCGCAATAACAATCTTCTCACCCGCTATAGCGAGCGAAAGTTGCATCGTACCCATGATACTAGCACCTGTGAATCTCTCTATTAGCATTTATTCCCCCACTAAACTTCTCCCATCCATATATCTTCCTGGAAAATCAAAAAAAAGAGAAAATAAAGACTCACCCAACCCTTGCACAACCAATGTCGTAACATCTGCCGTAACGAAACCCCTCGTATACCACCTCGCCTCCACACCCGCAACCTTCTCCGCGCCCGCAAGTCGAATCGTACGACCAAGCATCATATACACCGTCGCCGCGAACCACAGCGGTCCCACAAGCAACAACACACCCTGCGTGATAAACGGACCCCAGGCTTGATTGTCAAAGTGCGAAGCAATGCGTGCGCTATAGCCTCCTACTTCACCTGTTCATACAGCCAAAAAAAAGGTTAATTAGTCAAAAAGTTGATTTTTGTCGTGGATAAGACAGATAGAGGAATGGGGAATAGGGAAACGTACATAAAGCGCCGATGATGAGGAAGATGATGATGCGGTTTTTGGACTTGAAGAAGCGACACAGGTGGAGAGTTGCCATGGCTGCGAAGACGACGATGCAGATTACAGCGCCCGCGAGAGAAGGGGTGTAGCGGTACATTTCCCAGTCGAAGCCAGGGGATTTGGGCGGGTTCTGTCGTTTCCAGGTGAGGAGGCTAGGGGAGATGGAGTGGATCATCGTGGTCGGATGGATGTGGAAGTAAGTAGATGAAAGATTGAGAAAGGGAATCTGGCTGATTTTGCGCCTGGAGAGTAGATTGAGAAAGGGTGATGAGATGAGATGGGCCTTGCTACGTGCTCGAATTTACTGCGTTCTTTATACCTACCTGTCTGTAAATACTACATCGGCATACCTCTCTATCTGCATATACATCCTTTCGCACTCGCTTGCACGCACTACCCATGTTCATGCACACGAAAGACAGGGAAGCTAGCTCAGCCTATCAAAATCATAGCATAATGTATATGAGAGTAGCGTGCCTTGTACCCGGTTGCGAAGCCGCCGTTGTCATGTGTCCATCTAGATAGTCGTTCGCACTCGCTTAAACGATCCATGTCGGTGTACTCAATGTCAGGTATGCTAGCGCATGCAGGGGTAAGACGCCAGATTTCGCATTCGCTTAATCAACCAATACTGTGCATTCTCTCACATCGATCCGTAGCAGCAATCATATCCATACGTCAAAGGCGTCCAAGCACATCATCACTGCCTGAATGGTTCGGTCAAATGCATTCTTGCTGTTAACAATGATACATTACACAAGGATTTACCTGTGGTAGCCTAGCCAGGTTCCACATTTCATGCGTAAAGTGATGCCATAATTCCTTCGCAGACTTTTTTGTTTCTTAGATCGTATGTTACAACGTGCGACAAAGCACTCAACCCCAACACATCCCCGTTCCAAAACCAAAGGAACGAGGCCCTTATGAGCCAATCTAGCCCATAACCATGCCCTTGAGACCGGACATGTCGCCTTCCTTGGCGGCAATCTCAAAGTATCCGTAGATGATGGTGACGGCAAGAAGAATACCGGTACCACTGCCAAGAGCTCCGAGGAGATCGCTACCAACAGACAAAGCTCCAATGCAGGCACCACCAAAGGCAGCCGCGGTGGGAATAACACGCTTGAGCTCCTTGTACATGGACTCCTCACGGTGACCAGCCATGACCAGACCCTGCTCCTTGAGCTGCTTGGCAACATCGCGGGGAGAGGAGCCAGAGACCTCGATCCAGGTCTTGGAGAAAACAGCGCAAGCGACGAGCATGTAGACGATGAAGACGGCGGTCTTGAGGGGGTCAGAGAGCGCCTCAGTGATGCTGAGAGGGGGAGACCTATACAATGTCAGTATGGAAACTACCAGAATGGGTTTGCTGTGGAACATACATGTAGTAAGCGACACCAGAGGTGGCGAAAAGCTGAGCGGAGCCCTCCTTGGGCTCCCAGACACCGAGAAGCTTGACAAGCAGGTTGTCAGAGAAGCGGCTGTAGAGCATCTGGCTGATCAGGAAGACGTTGGAGGACAGAGCAGACTGCAGCATGATGGGCATGTTGGAGGTGTAGAACAGACGGACGGGGTAGGAGCCACGGACACCACGCTGGCGGGCAGACTTGACTGGGATCTCAACGCGGAATCCCTGGAGATAGATGACAGCGCCGAAAACGAGAACGGTGGAGATCAGGTTCATGACGTTGGGGAGGTTCTGACGGTAGAAGGCCTCCTTGAGCGCAACAGTCTTGTCAGGCCAGGTGAAGAGCAAGTGAACAAGCGCAATCAGAGCACCCTCAAACTCCGGCCCACGACCAGTGTTGATGGTAGTAGGGGAGAAAGCCTTCCACATGATGGATTCGCAGATGTTGGTGGCAATGAAGAGCGAGATACCGCTGCCGAGACCATAACCCTTCTGGAGGAGCTCGTCAAGGAGAATGACAATCAAGCCAGCAATCATCAACTGGATGACGAGCAGGACGCAAATACCGGCACCGAGGTCGGATGGCTGTCCATAAAGACCAGAGATAACATAGACGACAGCCTGGCCAAAGGACAGGAGAATGGCAAGGAGCTTTTGAGCGGTTTGGTAGAGTTCGCGGTCCGACTTGAGGTCAAGGTTGACGTCAATCAGGTGGGTTCCGGCAAGAAGCTGGAAGACCATGCCCGAGGTGATGATGGGGGTGATACCCAACTCCATCAGCGTACCTCTGTTACTCGCCATCATCATGCGCAGCCAGTAGAGTGGGTCAGAGGTATCAGACGACACAATTCCGTAGAGCGGCATCTGGCTCATGACGAGGAAGACGAGGAGCGTGAGACCAGTCCATACTAGGCGGTTGTTGAACGGCACCTTGCTCTCGGGCAATTGGATCTCGGGGACGAGAGGCACAAAGGGCTTGACAAGATCGAGGAACCGTACTGCGTGGAGGCGTTAGCTGTGCGTGCCGCAGTGCGCCCTGTTTTGCGCGTGGGTGATCGCGGGCCCATTGAGGGCGGGGGCGTAGACTTACGGCCGCTCATGATTGCGAACTATGGCCCAGAGACAAGAAAGAAGACAAGGAGAAGTGAAAAAGGTTGGTTGAAGGCAGCCTGGAGATGGAAAGTGAGAGGGGGGTTTGTATTGTAGCTTTCGCAACGTGTCGCTGGGGAAATTACCCGTGCGCGCGCTAGCCGTAGTTCCGTCCCTGAGCCATCTCGAAGCTGCCACCGAACCTCAAAGAGGCCACGCTGTTCCAACGCTGTGGGGGCTTTGTGGCGTTATCATCTGCGGAATTGTGGCGTTTTTTGTCTGTATACAGTACGTGAGCTTGCTCTCATTCATGTACTTAGATGTTGTTGTCATGTTGACCAGATCATCGCCCCTGAGGTGCCATTGGCCAACCAAACACCAGCATCGATGATGAGTAAGTACGTGATCCCTGTACAGGACCAATTGACTGATATCCGAGTTGTTGGAGACAAATTGAGTTGTAAACATTTCAACTTGCTCCTCGCCGATGGCAGTGTCGAGGTTTTTGTCGGATAGTCAATATCGTATGTCTGATACTGATACCCACCCCCTGCATGCCTCGAATACACCTGGAGTATAGGCCGAGTCAGAACACTGCTCACTAAGATCGATACCCTCCAATCATCATAAGTCCAAGCAGGGTAGTATCTACTCGACAAGTTACATTCAGTCACAACAACCACACCTTGCACTCAAAGACCTCGTAATGAACAATAAACATTATGTATACTACAGGCAAGCGTATACGTAAATTTGGACCGCATCCAACAGACCAAGATGTGTCTTCCAGAGACCACAAGTGTGTAAAATCAAAAAAGGGGGGTATATATCCAGCCATCACCGAACCACCTACTCAGCTTGCGCACGCTCATCGGCCGCCATCAGTACAAACGGTGATTACAATGAGTAAGGAATGTATAGAGTAAGGGGTATAGCGCAGAAAATATGATACAAAACCGGACTCGCCGGACAAGAAAGAATGAAGAGGGTGAATATTCGTACGATGTCAGGAAACGAGAAAGCGCTAAACGACATGACATACCGAAAAGGAAATTGGCGTATAGTAGACAAAAGGAAAGAAAGACGGCTTACGCCATCATCATGAGTCTCGTTCCACGTTTCTGTAGGTTTCGTGGTCTGTAATTTCCAGGTCCGAGGTGGTTTCTCGGCGGAGCCGCGGCGCTCTGGGCATGTCGCTCGCAATACCTTCGCCCTGCAACTTCAAAATAGCCGTCCCGCAGAATGAGACGACAAGTGAAGCATGCAAAGCACCTAGGGTGAAATTTTTGTCGCGTGTCTGTTTCGAGGTACTGGCCTTCGATGCCGCGGTTGCAGGTGTTGCATAGTGATCCATTGAGCTTATGGTAGTGACGCTCGCAGTAAGGTGAGTTGTTGAAGACGTAGAACTCGGCCGTGGGGAAAGGGTCCGCGCATTCTCTGCAAACAAAGCAGTGCTTGTGGTACCGCCCAGTGAGACGACCCGATGAATCTTTGACGGATTTTCCAACAATGGGCTCAGAGCATCCACGACAGTTACCCTTGCTAGCAGGTTTGGGCCGCTGCGCATCTTGCTGGCGTATCTCAGGTCTAGCTATATCCCTAAGTGGGCTTCTGCTGTAGTCTTGGGCCATGGGGTCTTTTGGGAATATGCCTAATGGGGTTCGTGCACCCATTTGTACGGCAGGATCTATGGGAGACTCTGGATACTGCATGTTTACGCCTGGTGGGAACATGAGCTGGCGAGGGCCTGGAGATAGCGCTCGCGGGTATGGTCCTAATCCGTTAGGGCTTGGACTTCTCCTAAGATTCTCTTCGGCAGCATAGTCTGGGCGGCCTATTTTGGAAGCTTGGCGCGAGTGTGCAGCTTCCGATTCTGGCGGGCTTGACCTTGAACTGGCTGTGCTTCGGACACCAGAGCTACCATAGGAATCGTCAGAGAAGCCAGAGTCCGAAGGCGTGTGAAGCGCGTTTGATTGTCCATCACTGGGCCCTGCGGCAGCCAGTGGCGGAGGACGTAAAGAGCGAGATGGTGCAAGGCCTCGCGGCATGTCGCTCACAGAACCATTGCGGCTTGGACCCGGTGAAGGAAACATGTTGTTGGGCGGGAAAAAATCGGATGTATCCAAGTCGCTCATATCCATTGGTGGCAAATCCCTTTCTGAGGGCCTTCTTGGCCGTGGTGGTGGTTCTCTCTTGCTTCGGCTGTTCTGTCGCACCGGCTCTGGCGTGATGTTCTCCTGAACTGGCTGAGAAGAGCTCGAAGATTCCTTTTGCAAGCGGTCCAGGAAAGCATCAATACCTTCAGTCTGCTCGTCAGCCTGTGGGCGAGGGGGTAGAGCCTCTATGTTTCCAACGCGTAGCTTTGGGTGGGAAGGGAGGCCAACGCTGCGGTTAGAATACCCAGAGCTGCGCGAAGTATTCGATGTTACAGAGGACCGTATCTGGGGAAAGCTCCTGTTGCTTGAGATGCTGCCTTGTGTGCCTGTCCTCTGGTGACCGCTTGTAGATGCATCTACGGCTTGACTCGATGCGCTTGTTCTACTTGGCCTTCGATCATTCTTTCCATCAAACGGTCCTGGTGCAATAGTGTTCATGCGCTTGGTGATATTCTCCCCGCCATCAAAACGTGGACTAAGTGGTGCAAACAATGGGCTTGGTTGAGCATAGTTTTGGTAGGG